ACATCCTCCACAACTAGACTGAAGAACAAAACGACAGCAACTTGTCTGTTCCCCTTCCCCCAATTCCCCAGCACTGTTCCCATCCCCCCAATTCCCAAATAAAAAAAATCTTTAAAAAAAAAAAAGAACACAAGAGCAAATAAACACAATGACACCTTAAGAAGGAATTAAAAAGATGAAAAGAATGAAAAGTATAAAATTTTTTAAAAAGAAGAGATTTCAAGAATTCAGGTAAAGAAGGTATAACATATGAATAACAGAATCTCTGAAGAAGAAAACAAAATACAAAAAGAATATTAAAGAAAATGTCCCTGAATAAGAAAAGATTTGGAACTGCATGTTGAAAGAACACGCCCATACTGAGAATGCCCACCCAGAATAATCAATGCCAAGTAAAATAAAGGCTTTATAGAAAAGACTTCTTTGGGCATCTTTGGGCAAAAAAAAACCAAAACACATGACATATAAGAGAAATACAGCTATCATCAGACGGACAGCAACACTTTACCCTAGGAAAAAGTATCTAGAAACACAGGTAAGATTCTCAAGGAACGAAAACGTGAGCCAAGGATTTTATAGCTGTCAAAACTGACCTTCCAGTGAAAAGGGCACAAATGGTTATCAACATGCGAGAATTTAGGGAACACGCCCCCGTGAACCATTCCACAAGCATCTGGTAGAGAATGAGATTTGGAAAACCAAAACAACTAAACAGATGTCAACATACAGACTAGTCATTAGTACTAAACACAGTTACTGATGGACCTAAGATTAATGGAGGGCTAAAGCGAAAGAGCAGACTACGTAACAGCTATATCATGTATTAGCTCTACATAAACAGGCGCATGGGCATGAAATGATTCTAGTCCTCACCAGAGTCCAGCCTGCCTGAGAGGACAGACCTCGTTCACACTCCTGACATCAGCCAAGATGCCAAAAGGCCTTTCCCCAGGAGTAAGGATCACACCGCCAGATCACCTGCCAGAGTGAGACCCACCGGAACAAAGCCTAAAACCAAACCTGGACAGAGAAGGCAGTTTGCAGGTGAGTCCCACTAGATTGGAGGGGCTTCAGAAACGCCGTGGGCTTTCTACAGACCCTCACTAACACCAAAGCAAAAAACAAAGCTGAGTAGCTGAGCTGACTGCTAAACCACGAATGGCACTCTTTAGAGGAAGATGGAAATGCATGGTCTCTCCACGTAACGTGCACGATATCCAGCATTCGAAGAGCAATCACTAGATAGCAGCGGGAAGCGTGACCCATCATTCCAGGAAACGGCAGCTGACAGACACCGAGCGTGAGAGGGCCCAGACGCTGGACTTAACCAAGATATTTAGCAGCTCTTATAAACAGAGTCAAAGAATAATAGGAAAATGCGGTCTCAGTAAGTGAGCGGACAGGGAATCTCAGCAAAGAATGGAAATCCATAAAAAAGACCTGAAAGGAAATCCTAGAACAACAAAATACATTAGCAAATGAAAATGTCACTGGAGGGGCTTAACAGCTGATGAGATCCTAGAACTCCACGTGGTCAGGGAACTGGAGGGGGAAACAGAAGAAATTATCCATTCTGAGGAAAGGTCTAATATACATGTAATTGGGAGTCCCCATAGAAAAAAGTAAGACTGGACAGAAAAGAATTTTGAAGAAATAAAGGCCAAAATATTCCAAATTTGAGGGAAAATACTGACCTAGAGCTCTAAGAACCCCAAGCAGACTAAATGTCAAGAGAACCAAGTCTACACACAACACAGACAACCCTCTAAGAACTAAGATGATAAGCTCAAAACAGGCAGAGAAGTGAGACCTGGTACATACAGGGAACAGGGGAAAAAACGAAGTCTTTACTCTCTGCCGCCGGGAGCCAGAAGACAGTGGAAAGACAGCTCTAAGAAGCAGAAATACGGTCACTCATTAATAGCGCCTATCAGTTTTAAGAATAAGTTTTACAATTCTGAAAAACACACTGGGAAGTCTCCTTTCTCCTTTTGTGATCTGGAGCATGGCATTAGAACAGGAATTTCCTTAGAAACGTGAAGAAGACCAGCGGTAAAACAGAGGGGTTCAAGGAATAGAGAGACAATGAAAAGGACAACTAGCTCTTGGATTCACTTATCCCTTTTAGTCTGTTATTCTAGAAAATTAAATGATATACATCTGGATTTGCTTGGCTTATTCAACAAGTAGGAGAAATTAAATCTTTAAAAAAAGAATTGAAAAACAAAAACCATCAACCCAGAAGTTCATATTCAGGGGAAATATCATTCAGACCTGAGGGTGAAATACAACCATTTTCAAGTAAACAAAAGCGGACAGAATCCATCGTCAACAGGATGCACCGTAAGAAAAACGCTGTCCTTCAAGCCAAAGGGGAACAAATGCTGCTGATGGCAATGTGGACCCTGAGCAGGGGGCGAAGAACTCCAGGGATGGTACGGAAGGAGGTACACATGAAAGACGATGCCTGCTCTTCCTGTAATTTAGTTAAAAACAACTGACATCCTTAAAGGTTGGGTTTATACCTACATGTAAAGATATGACAACAAACAAAGCAGGAAACTAACAAGTTTGGACAAATACAAACCGATACCAAGTCCTTTCCTTTGTGCTAGGAATCACCCATGCTCCTACGGCTCATCTCCTGTCCACTGCTCAGTAATAAGGGTTACCCCACGGAGGTCATTCCTCTGACAGGTATCATCTCCCCATACCTTTTCAAAGTCAGTCTAAACTGCACCACATTAAACCATGGCGACTGACCTTCTGTGACACTCACAAATAAGTAGACTTGAATTTAAAGTACTGCACGCTCGCGTGTGTGCAGCTGCCTGAGGAGGTTAGCTGGGCAAGGCCCCCGCCCCTCAGGGCCCACGACGCTCTGTACCTCTGTCCCCGACCCCGGTCCTGGAGAGTCCACTTTCCTCTTCTTCCTGGGCCCGATGGCGGCCAGCGCTGTGAGGTTGGCGTCGCGCTGCCTCATCTGTGCCAATTCCTGCTGCTGCATCTTAGTTTTGAAAAGGAAAGAAGGACTGTCATTTCATGCACATTTCTCGCTCACTACAAAAGTAATAAAAATACAGACACCAAAGCGTTTTCTGAAATTTTCTAAATTAAAGTTTCTTTAATGTTTTGACTTTTAACTGTAAGCATATCACGCAATCAGAAAAATAATAAAGTGACAGATGCTCATCTTAAAAAGCTCAGAAAATATGAACAAATTTTAAAAGTATAGACTAACTGCACCCAAAGAAAAATTACCATTAATTTAAAGCACGACACAAATGACACTGGAAAATACCTTGGCAAACATTTTAAGTAGCTACAGAAGTGCCGCGGTACGCAAATACCGTCACTTTCTTCACCTTCCTCTCTCGTTGGCAGTTTCGGTTGGATTCACGTGTGTTTTCAAGTGTGGAGTGAGCACCCACTGACCGCAAAAGCCCTCTTACCTCTTTTGCCTTCTGTTTCAACCTTAATTGTTCTGGATCTTCTTGTCTGGACCGAGACTATTTTCCGAAGAGATTAAAAAAAAAGAAGAAGAAGTTATGACATAAATGCTTATCGTCTAACAAATATGTTATCTTATTCACTGTATAATAAGATCTAGATCATGACAGAAGGCATATTACATTTCTGAAGTGCTTAAAGCCAATAGATGAACATTTAGGCTGCGCGTCACGGAGAACGGACCTAAGAACTAAGATGCGGTCTCAGACACGCCTGCCAGCTGCAGGGTCTGACCTGATGGGACACGGACGGGTGCCAGGATGGCCCGAGGGCTCAGGACTCAGCTGGGTCCTGCCCCACGCGCCACGGCTGCCAAGGCCTCGTGCCCCAGCTCCACCCCCACGCCTGTCCCGTGGCCAGCAGCCCAAAACCCCGAGGATGTCTGTGGGTACCCAGGACAGGAGGTGGGGGGACACTCCAACCAGAAGTATAAACACTTGCCTTTGCTGCCCGCATTAAGATTTCTCTTTCCTGCTCGTCTTTCCTCTGTTTTTCGATTTGGTCAAGCTGCTCAAAAAATTTGAGCTGAGCCCGGACATCACTTGCCTGCTCATATCTGTCATCATCCTACAAAAAAAGGTAAAAATCCTGTTTGTCATCAGTCTGGGAACCCAGCTGGTCAGTATGTGCATCGCCTTCAGTCCAGTTCCCACAGCACCACCAGCACCACCGAGCAGACCCGAGCCCGCCCTCTCACGTCCAGCCGGGTCCTGCATCTGAGGCACTCAGCACAGTAACATGCAGAGAGGAGCTCAGGCGAGCTACCCTGTGGCTCATTTTATGCATTTTGATGTTTGACTTTTTTTAAAGCAACATCTAAAGTTTTTCATAGTAACATACATGTTTTTAAAGCAAAATGGCTCCTTGCTTTTAACTGCTGCTCAGAAGGCGCTGTAGCCCGGGCATGAGCGGTGCCTGCCTGTCATGCCTGCCCACTCCTGTTGCCCAGCAGTGCCCTGCAGAACAGCACTCAGGACTGGGGGGGGGGGGGGGCCAGAAAGATGCCGCTGTGGGAGGCCGGGCCTCTGGTGCAGGTGACCCTCCACGAAATAAAATGGGGCAATCTGGGGTCATGGTCTCCAAAGCTGAACAGGTCACCTCCGCCTCAGCCCCAGCTGCCCTACCCTTCCTCCCCCAGCTAAGGAGGATGCAGCATCTGAGAACACCAGGCGGCTAAAATAAGTGGAATCTTCCCCCAATCTAGATCTGTGGAAAACTCAGAAGGAGCTGACACTTGGGCCGCCCCAGGTCTGGATATAGGGACAAGGCCTCAGGCGCGCCACTTGGGGATCATGGGCAGGTCCCTCTTCAGGGAAACAGCACATTACCTTATAGGAGAAGTTCTTTTGCTGAGCCGTTTCTGATATTTTTTCTACGAGGTTCTGCAGCCTCTGTTGCGTGGCGTGTGATACGTAACTCACCACGTCTGGGTGTAACTCCGTTATGCCGTGTTTCTTACCTGGGGGCAGCCAACATGTCAAGCGTGTAAGTGGTCCTCTTTCTCACGACCTTGCTGGGTCCCCCAGCTACTGCTCTACGCAGCCTCAGGGCAGCCTAGGAGGCTCCCAGACAGAGAACCACCATCACCACCACCACCACGTGCAAGGTATGACACGGGCAAGGCATGCAGTAGGGAGCTACTGACAGGGGCAGCCTGGCCCTCAGCATTCAAGTCGCAGTGCCCAGCAAGCCCGCACATGGACATAGAGCCCTGGCCACAGCCAGGAAGCATGGACATACCTATTTCTAGTATTCGTCTCTGCAAAGGTGCCGGGAGGAGGAAGGTCTCGTCCTTACAGGACCGCGTGAGGGTGCCCACGAGCTCAGAGTTTGTGGCTAATATTCTTGCACTTTCTTCCGACAGGTTTACTCCAGCCATCGACGCAACATCGTTAATGTCATCGTCGTCCCTTCAGAAAAGAAGAAGAAAGGAAAAGAGGGTTCTAGAAGAAAAGCAGGAGGCACATTCAGGTAGTCCCAACTTAGAGGAAAATAAACAGAAAGGTAGGGGACCCCCTGTGGGAAGCGCAGCTGTCTCCCCCAGGCGTGCGCCCCGCACTGTGCTGTCGTCACCTGAAGGAGAAAGCCTAGTGGTCTTCCTTGAAACTGAGTCTGGTGTTTTAAAGGGAGACCTGCTGGGGGCTGAAGCGGAACAGGAGTCTTTGCACATGGACGGATGTGCGCAGAGGGTTCCGCCAGTCAATGACAAGTTCAGACAGCAAAACCCAACGCTCTACTCCTGGTTTCACAGAGTTCCTCCAAGTGGAACCCTCCCTTTTTTAAAATCACAGAGCATTAACTGATCTTTACAATAATCACAAACTCTCAGGAAAGCTGGAGTATAGTACGAGGAACTTCCTTCCTGAATCACTCGAGGGTGAGCTGGCCATCTGACACCCACATGGGACCACTGCAGTGTGTTCCCTGCGACAAGGGCATTCCCGACAGATCGGGGCAACCTTGGAGACCAGCCTCCCGCCACGCTCCATGGCCACCAGCCGTGCTCAGGCCCCTCCCAGTCTGGCTGCCTATCCTGGTAGCATCCTCCACACCAATTCAGAATCACATGCTGTATTTTGCTGCCGTTTCTATTCAGCTTCCGGGCCTGGAATGTTCCGCAGCCTTTTCCTGACTCTTGTGCCCTTGACACTTAGAAGGTCACAAGGCCAGTTTTCCGCAGCATGTCCTTGTTTTCCATCTGAGACTGACTCCCCTTGTGACAAGATGTGTGGATGTGGCCTCATTCGCCACCTCCTGCAGGAGCTGCATTTTGCTGGTCCCTTACTGAGCTGCACTCTGAGCGCCAGCGCCGTGGGCAGGTACCCCGCCCGGCTTCCCGACAATCAGGGCGCTCCCACCCCACTGCGGTCAGTGAGGATATGTGTGCGAGCACACACACCCCACTCCTCATGAACTATCGGTTTATCCATTTCTATGGGCTCATGGTTTCCTGTCCTAGCCGTGGGTACAGCCTCTTACGACCGATGTGGCCCGCAGAAGGCAAGCCACTCCAGCTGACTTCCGGGAGCTCTGGCAAGTGCCCGTCCATCCTGAGCGCTGCTTTCTGACCTGACAAAAAGGTGCGCTAGGCTCGCCTTGCGCTCTCCTGACACCGGCCCAGGAATCAGCCTTTCCCAGGTGCCCTGGCCACTGCGGGGAAACTGTGAGAAGATGAGCGCCAGGCATGCTCGCTGCTACGGGCTGTCACTGACTCTCCATCCGCAGTAGACACGTCTATCTAACCACTGAGCACGCGCTCTCATCGCCATTGCAGCCCGACACCACGGCCTTCACTCCAGCACACTGGTTCTGTGCCTCTCATTCCCCTCCCTTCCTGGCCAGGCAGGAGCTGAGGCTTCCGGCCTTCGCTCACTTACTCTTCTGACCTGAGGTGGACACACTTCCTGTCTACAGCACCCGCCCCCTCCCGCCCCCCAGGGGCTGGCCTCCTCACCCAGCTCGAGCCACCATGGCTCAGCACTGCCTACACCTACGCTGTTCCAGCTGCCTAACGGCTTTGGGAAGAAGCATCTGGGAAGGGAAGGTCCCGCGAAAGCCTCCTGAAACACGCACTTTCCTGCTGCTTTGTCATAAGGAAAGTCATCACGGCGGCCCTTTCTACTGAAATGTCCCCGACACCCAAGTCCTCAACTATGACGAGGCTCGGACTGGCTGCACATCAAGAGACCCAAGTGCAGCATTTCTGAAGGTTCTGAACTTGACAGTCTACAGTATGGTTGGGATGCTCTCAGATACTGGGCTGTAGCAAAAAAACACAGACTTTCCATTACTTCACACAGACGGTCAGCCCGTCTGCAGTTCCTTCCTTACCGAAATGAGCCTCCCCCAGGCTCCTTGAGTTTATTTTTCTGTGCAGCAGCTGCCTGGGCCGAGACAGCAGAAAGAGCTTTGGTTCCGGGTAACACGGCAGGTTTCACCACAGGGACTGCAAAACGAGAGACACGGGTATGTCCACCAGCATACCTGTTACGTGCGCTGTGCTCCGTTCACAATGGGGCCGCTGGGCTTTGCCGAGAGGGACGCCGCTTCAGTGCGTGAGGGGCCCGAGGAAGAGCTGCCCCCCACCCACCACAGTCAAGCTCTCATGAACGTGAGCTTGCTAACCCAAAAGTGCGGCTAATAGTGTCCGTGCACCTCTCGTCAAGCTATGGCTCTCGCCAAGGAATGGCGCCTGACAGAGAAATCTGCAGTGTTGAATGTAGGTGTAAGGGTGAAAACCACACTGACAGGGATCAGGGCTGGCGACACTGAGCCGTCCACTTCAGTGGGCTCAGGCGCTACGTTTGGTTATGTGTATTCCATCCAGCACAAGAAAAAGGGAGAAGCCAAGACTGCCCGGTGCATGGCCCTGGGGCGGACGCAGGCCCTCACCTGGCTGCAGCTGGCTGAGCTGGACCTGCTGGGGTGCCGTGAGCACAATGCGGCTGTGAGGCTGCCGGAGGGCCACCATGGGCGTCTGCGTCAGCGCCACTTGCGGGGGCCGGATCAGTGCTCCAGGCTTGGGCGGCTGCTGGATCACCTGGAGCAGAGCCCACAGCCCTCGTGAACACACCCCGTCCTGGGAGCTGCCAGCACTCCACCCCAGACGCCCCTTGCCCTGACCTGGGGCAGGGCGACCCCAATAGGACTAGGAAACCCACCTCAAGCCCCACAACCAAAGCCAACTCTTCAGGGCAGATATGCTACGTGGACGCTGCACGTGGGGCCCTGAGCTCAGTGATCCAGGGCGAAACAGGCGACTTCTCCCCACTTAGCAGAGGGGACATGGCTGCCTGGGGCTACAGCTCAAGCCTTTTCCCCCTCCTCCACATTCTAAAAGGCAGGACAGCTTTTATGCTGGGAGGCGGTTAGACTACCTACATCCTGCCCTGAACCTGGTCCTCTAAGAAGGGCCTCTCCTACTGCGCCCCCATGTGGCCTGGGCCCCGCCCCAGCTGTGTGCCCATGGCTCTGCACTGCCCAGCCCTTCACTCCCACTACCGAGCACGCACTCATCCTTCACTGCTGCTCGTTACCTACCTGTCTACCTGTACAGGCAGCTCACCTGCTCTGACTCCTGCCTAGCTCCCCTAGCCCACACAGAGCTGTGCTCCGGAGGTTGGCAGCACTGAGTGCTCCCTGCACAGGGCCCAGAGACACTAAGACCCCTTCTAAAGCCACACAGCTACAGGCCAACGGCCTTGCCTGAAACCGCTGGGTTGGGTGTTTCGGACAAAGGTAGCCTGGGAGGTACGTTAGGGGACACTCGCAGAGTGGATGGGGCCGTGCGCTGGGATCAAGCTATTCCTGCAACAAAACCTATGAAAATTCACACTGTACAGGACAAGTGGACATCAACGCCTCAGGTGCTTCGGGTCAGGCTCTGCCGTAAACCCAGGGGAAAGCCTCCAGCCTTCGCGTCTCTACAGGTTTCAGGGACGCCGAGAACGCGCCAGACCTGGGCCGGCTGCCCGCTGCTGCCGCCACACAGAGCCCAAGACAGCCTCTGTCTGAAAACACCGATGACATCACTCACACACTACGCACGAAGGTCAAACCTTCGGGAAAAACTGGCTGCCCAGCAAGTTCTCTTCAAGAGAACCCAGTATTGCATCAATTAATCCCAGTGACTATAAAACAAGGCTGCTCTGTACTTACACAACATTAAAGCAAAAGCCAGAATAAATCTCTGCCCCCTCGAAGTGAAAAGCAGCGTGGAGCCCTGCTCTCACATGGAAACCTCGGCCCCACAGCACACACCAGCCTCCCCGCTGCCCGGTCAGCCCGCTGCCTCACCATCAATCAAGGCAGAACAAGTCAGGTTTTTACCTGAGCAGGTGAGGGAGCCCCGCATGACCCACTTGGTCATTTTACTATCATAAAATCCACTCCACAACCTACCATTAAGTATGAGGGAACCTACACTGTGTGTTTTTTATAACTATCTCTAGAAGAACAAAATCCCTTTGAAATTTTTTTAAAAGGCCACTAATCTGCCGAAGGGAACAAAGATGTCCTTTCTGCAGCTTCAGAGTTCAGAAAACTGGATCCAAACTGTCAATGAATGAGCGGTAGCTTCAGCTCGTGAGAATCACCGGGGCCCAAGCCTGGATGCAGAGCTGGGACCTACGCCGAGAAACAGGGGCTCGCCAGCCGCCTGACAGGTCAGCTCCAAGCACCCATGGTCTGTTTCCTACATCTGGGTCGCTGCTCCTAATCGAAGATGACATCCAGCTAAGAGTCACTACAAACACACCAAGTTCGTGTAAACCACGAACACCCTGAAACGATACAGGCAAAGGATGTGTGGTGGGTGAAAGCCACCATGCTGCCCTTTACTGAAAGGGGTTTCAGACCTGCAGGCCTCAACGCTGGGCTAACTACTCAGGCTAACACCCAAGCCGGCTCCTGGCAGGCACCTCTCCTGAGCCAAGAGACGGGTAGGTGGGCAGGGGAGTGACGCGGGCTCTCGCCTGCATACCAGCGACGTGGGCTGCCCCTGCTTGCCAACGCCAACCTGTGTGGGCTGCGTGAGGCTGATGACAGGGGGCTGGAGGGCGCTGGTCACGGTGGCCGCCGTCTTCCCAGCCGTGCGCTGGACGGAGCTGCTCAGCACCACAGCCGTGAGCGCAGTGCTAGCCTGCGAGGCGGGCGGCTGCTGCTGCTGGCTCTGCTGGATGAAGGCTGCGGAGTCAGGGGTCAGCTGTCTCAAGGCCGGCAAGCTCCTCTGGGCAGAAAAGACACAGCATTGGCGGGCGGCACCGGCACCAGGCTCCATTCTCCCAAACTCAGACACATTCTTCCCTGGGCAAAGTTCTCAAGCTAAAGAGCACAGGCTGCAGAGCCTTAAGGAGATGTCTCTGATGGCAGGTGTCCACACACATGCACCCATCACACTCACACACATCCATCGAACATGCCCGTCACACACACCCATCACACTCACATACTCGCTCACGCTCATACACATACCCATCACACACACACACACACACACCTCTCACAGGCACACATACATACTCACACACCCATCACACACAGACATATACACACACCCATCACACACACCATCACTCACGAGGATTACTCTCAATAAGAAAAAGCGGTATTTCTGAAGTGCTCTTAAGACTATTATGGCATCGGAGATTGTCTAAGGGGGAGCACTGGGTCCTCGCTCAGGTGAGCTCCCCATCAGCCTTCACTCACAGACCACCCTGCAGGTTCGCCCTGTGCTTAAGGAGCGTGACACAGCCAACTGGCCACAGTGTCGGGGGTCTCATAACTCCCAGAAAAGTCTCTGAAGAGAAAACTAGATGTTCTGTTGCAGGGCGCTGTCCTTTCAAACACATCTGTGACAGCTGTGAAGCCCACTCCTCCCTTGGACAAGCCCGCCCCCATGCATGCAGGCACATGGTGCCAGGCGGCTTCACAATTACCTTCAGGAAAGGCACAAGGTAAGGTTGAGGTGAAGAATTAAGTTCTCGGTATAACCTACTAGTGAAATCTTCTGCTTCGATTTTTCCATCCTTAAAAATAAAATTCACATTGAAATTCCTCCACGAATAAAAGTTCACACACACATCTCTTCACTCGGCATCACTCTGGTCTCGTATTCCATGATCAGCTGTTCCCTCTGCCAGGTCTGGTGTTGGACAGAGGTGACAGGAAAGTGAGCGTGCTGCGTGTTTTGGCCGACACAGGTGTCCTAGGTGTGCAGCTGGACGCTCACCTGGCCCTTCCTGTGGAGCCGGCCGGTGGCCGTGCCTGCGCCTGGGAGGCTTACTGCTCTGCCTCTCGTCCCCTTCACCCAGCTGTCACTCAATGCTCACCAAGCTCCCTACGTGCCAAGCACTTTGCTAGGAGCCAGGCTAGCCTGAAGGTGGCCTCATTATCCAAGTCAGAGCTGCAAGCACAGATGCACAGGGCAGCACTGATGGGGGCCAGGGACCCCTTCACTCAAACACAACACCACAGACACCACTAAGACCCCGAGCCCCGGGGGGAAGCCCTGAACAGGGAGGGAGGGCTCTGCGGGCTTTCCCCGCCTACGGCCGTGCGCAGGCGCCCTGGCCTTCCCACATGTCAGTCAGAAATGCACCAAGGCCAAGAGCCCAGTGAAGCCCTTACCAGCAGGTGCTGCACCAGCTCTTTCACATTAGCCGCTGTCTCTGTGGACTGTTTACCCGATGACGCCAGTTTGATTAATGTAGATAGAAAATTTTTACATTTCTTCACGTTTTCCATAGTTTCCTGCAGTCAAGTTAAAAAGATATAAATGAAGTCTTAAAAAGCAGACTTTCATCATAGCTTTGGGTTTAACTAAGATATGAATATAAGAAATGTGTATTTCTTCTCTAAACGTCTTTCAAGAAAATGCAGTAACTGTCCTGGCCTGCTGAGGGGGTGCAAACCAGGACATGTGCCCCAGGGCCCATCTGACCACACAAATCGACAAGCCGACCCAAGGTTTACACCTCACTCAGTCCAGCAACTTCTCTTCTAGGAATGCAGCTAAGTCAACAATCCCAAAGTGAAAAGGTGAAGCTCTAAGATATTCATCATAATGTTGGCTATCAGGAAGAAACGCTACCTGCATCTATCTAAACACACAATAAAAGGAATTAAATTGTGACACTGCTACTAAAGATGGTGAAAAATACAAAGAAACGGGAAAAAGCCATAAATAAAGTATGATCCCACTAATTCAAAGATTTATAAACATGCAGGGAAACTACTGGAAGAAGAAACAGAAATGGATGACAGTGCTGCTCTACAGACCGCAGCTTTGTGCAGCCCACGTGTTACTTGTTCAAACACCACTGTTTGGGCCTTATTACCACAGACTTCTTTCTGTAGGGCCCAAAAGCCCCGGGCAGGAATATGGGGTCCTTTCTGCCACCCAGGGGCCTCTGCCCTCAGACCCCACTTCACAGGGCCATGCAGACTGCAATGCACTCATGTGTCTGGGGCTGCAGCTCCCCCAGGCTGGCTGGTGCTCTGAGGCGGCACGGACGAGACACATGGCCCCAAACAGCTCCGGGGCCTTGGAGGGAAGGGAGGTGGCGGTGTGGGGCAAACATGGACCCTGCTGCCCAGGGAGGGCCCGAGGGGTGCAGCAAGGCAGAACTCACCGTGGCAGCTGTGGAGGTGGTGGTGGCCCCTGGGACCGTTCTCTGAGGTGTCCCCGTCTGAACAGCCGTTGCCGTCCCAAGTGAGGTTGTCTGGGCAGTGCCACCCAGAACAAGCTGAGGCTGCAAGAGTCCAAAACATGAAGTGAACAGAGGCTCCGGGGAGATAGCCTTCACCCCCTGAGGCGAACAGGGCCCCATGAGCCAGTGTGTGCAGGCGGGACAGGCACCCCGGGCGGAACCCTCAGGACCCACGACAGATGGCCTGAGCGCAGAGGCCTGACACCTGAGGGGGCAGTGAAGCCAATGGCTGGAAACAGCCCAACTGTCAAAAGTCCACCCTGAAACTCACACGGTGACCAGTGCAAGTCATCTTTTAACAACCAAACTGGATCCCATCGGAAAGTAAAAGAACCAAACAGAGAAACTACAGCTACAAATGCCACTGTCTGGTCTGTACAGAGAGCCTGGTGACAAGAGGCCAGGACTTCACCTGCAGTTAGCCCTCGTACAGGGTGGCACCGGGATAACAGGAGAGTGGGGGGCCCCAGGCCTTTCCTTGCTCTCCCAGAGCGAGTCTGATCACAGGACACATGAAAGAGGGTTTTCGGAGCGATGTGAGAAATGGATGCGAGTGGGCTAGTCAGAGGGCCACTTGCTGAACAATGACCGGCCAGCGTGTCTGCTCCACAGCACAGTCATGACACAGACATTTACTGGTTTTTCCTAATCAGTCCTTCACCAAGTTATAAATCTAGCTTTCAGACTTTTCGCTCCAATTTTCTAAACGTTCCTTTCTCACAACTTCTGAAAGTAGGGGGCAGCGTACACCCTAAGCCCACTGTGAGCCATGGCAGCCACAACCTGTACCAACCCCTCCGGGGCTCTCAGGCATCCCAGGGACTCCAGGCTGCTGTGAGCCGGGAGAGGTAATGGGCTTTTTCTTTATAATCTGTGTCTTCTTTACTTGTGACACTTTCTAGTTACTCTTATAAACAGAAAATATCAAATAAAATCTCACAGGAAGAAAACAAAGAGCCAAGCCGAGCCACTATGTCTCAGCAGGGAGGGGACGGTCCGTGCAGAGCCGTCCAGGGCGCACCTCACCCTCCGGGAATTTCCTTCACGTTGAAATCTGTTCCCACGTTGAGTCCTGCTGGCCCAACAAATTCATACTTCACCTGGACGACAAGACGTCCACCTATCGGGTAAATTTACCTTCCACTCACTCTGAGGCAAAGCCTACTGTAAGCTTCACCGCCTTCTCAGAAAACGCCTTCCACTACAACTGGAATTCAGATGGGGTGTGCCCGCTGCACTGAAGTTGGGGCTCAAGCCTGCGGCCCAGGAAAGTCCCGATCGCCTGGGCGCACCCCCGACATGTGCAGAGGACCTCGGCTCTGGCTCACTCACTGGGTCTGAACTGCTCTTCCACTGGCTCTAACTTAAACAGCACTGCCACCCACTGCAGACGAGATCCAGTCAGGGGAGAGAGCCCAGTGCTGGGCTGCTCGGGGGCCCTCTGCCCACCAGCTGTCCCGCACCACCTCATTTGGAAGACGGGAACATCGCCAGCCACGCAGTGCTGCAGTGGGGACACATACAGATCAGCAACACGTCAGAGCAGAGCCCTGGCCCAAGCAGATGCGTGATAAAACGTGGCCAATGCTGTAAAACCTGCATTTACGACGGATGCTCATAACACTGCAACCCCAGGAACAGCTCTGAGCCACTGTGCTCTGGCTGCTCTGACCTGGCTGCCCAGAGCAGGCCACTTCCCTGCTCTGCACACGAAGGGGCCAGCCGAGCCAGGACGCAGCCTCTCCTGGGCTTTTCCAGCCCAGAGGCTGAGCTGTCAGGAGCGCCAAACCGCCGAGAGGTCAGCACCTGCTCCAGTCCCACAGCTCACACACTGTGCAAAATCAAACAACCAAACACACACACCAGCCCCCCAGGGGGTCATTACTGGCGAGGACACGGCCGCAGGCGGCCGCGCTGGCTGAGGGCGAGAGCAAGTCCGAAAGCCCGCACACGTCACTCGTCAACGCTCACCAAGAAGAGGGTGAGAGCCACACAAACTAACGCACATCAAAAGGAAGGTCTGGAACTGATGCTCAAACGAGAGCTGCCATCGCCATAGGACACTTGCGGGGGACAGGTACACACACAAACTCTCCTGCTCCAAAGACGCTTTACAGTCAAGTATTAACAGGCGATGTTTTTAATAAGACTTCTGGCACACAGGAAGGTTTTAGAAGTGCTACTGGTGCTAAGCCCCGTGAGGCTTTACAGAGAAGGAACCCTGACCTACTGTGTTGGCAGAGAAAAAAACGCTTTCTTCAAGACGGCCTTCCTGCCACAACTCGGCCTCGCACCCCATACCCAAGCTCGGGAGGCCGTGTCTGCGTCAGGGCGCAGCGCCAAGCCCCGGCTCACCTGCACTCCGGGCGAGCGCTGTAACGCCGTGGTGGGCTGTACCGTCGTCTGGGCCTGAGACACTTGTTTAATTATGGTCGTTGGGGTCACCTGCCGTGCAATAATAGGGGTCCCAGGTGCCTGGAAAACAAGTGAGAGTCATCTAAAGGAGCGACAAGTGGAAGGAATTCCCCGCCGCCCAGGGCACCCCGAAACCAATCCTTTCATAGAGAACTGAATACTCAAGTGAGTCTACAGTTTATTCACCATGTTCACTGAGGCCCCCTAATTCTAAACCTTTCTTACCAAAGGGTAGGATCGAAATCTTCATACACGATAATAAAAACACCATTAACTTCTATGTCAAAGCCTACCAAACCTGGTCTTCAAAGAATGTCATGTATCTGGGAAATCGGGCCCCGTGTGGATTTCTTGTGATCTTGTTGACAAGCACTAAAAAAGTGATGAAGGCAGTAGGAAGCACATGTCCCCTGGGTCTAAAGACCAGTCACAGTGCTGCAGACGGCAGACGAGGGAGGAAAGGCAGCAGTGGCCCAGGGGGCCCACTGAGCCTCAGTCCCGATGGAAAGGTGGCTTGAGTCCTGAGCAAGGTAACGTTCAAGTTGGTTTGAAAGGAAACTGACAGCAAAATGCTGACAGCCAGATGGTGATACGCACAACCGACAGCTAAAGTGAAAGCACGGACACCTTACTTACAGCTGCATTGTACTGAACAGAACGCTACAGGCCTTGGAATCTCTGTTCTGAGCTGTTTCAGAGACTCAGTAAAGGGGGCACTTTGTGAGTCCCCCAGCACAGACGTGCCCTCCCCCTACAGAGCAGGGGCACCAACACCAGAGGGAACGCAGCTGAAATCACAGGAGAAAGGCATTTTCAAGAGCTGTCTAGTCTCCACTTTACTTACTAACCAGCCAACTCGCTCAGAACAGCAGAATGACAGCACCAGACACAAAAGCATCAGCAGACAGGGTAGAAACAGGGAACGTGCTGGCACGTGCCCACATGGAAATCCTGACATGGACAAGGAGCGCCGAACACTGGGAGGGCGAGTCCCAGCACGTTGCTTCACCATCAGAACCTGTCCTCCTGCCATAATCTCAGGGGTCAGGGCGGTCACCCCTCAAGGCTTAAATACCTGTGTGTGGGGGGAGGGGAAGATACTATTTCACATAATCTTGTAAAGTTCTTACGTGCCTCCCTGATAATAATAGCTAACACTTACTCAGTGTTTACTGTTCCACTATTCTTAGCACTTTAAGTCTTAACTCAGTCCTTTGTAACAGCCCTGTGAGATAAGCACTCCTCGACTCTCCACTTTGCAGAAGAGGAAACTGAGGCACAGAAAGGTGAAGTCCCAGGAGAGAAGGGCAGGGGCCGGGATGGAGTGTCGGGGTGCGTGGGCTCAGAGCTGGCTCCTCCGAGCAGGGTAGCCCTTGACACCAGAGTCAGCGACCCCGCGGTGGACGGCAGGACACTGCCAGACTGCCCAAGTGGGCATGGTGGGGCGCAGGCATGCACTCACCTGTACGGTGGAGATCTGGACGGGAGGGGCACTTGTGGGGGTTGCAGGGCGGGGCGCCATGGTGGTCTGAGGCTGGGCCTGGGCGTGGGCCTGGGCCTGCATCTGGGCCAAGGCCTGCTGAGGAATCATTAACAACTGCCCATTCTCGCTGCGCACGAGGACCATACCTGGGGGACAAAGGACACCTGGCATCAGGAACGCACCCCACCCCAGAGCCCAGGAAGCACCAGCTCTACCAGGGAAACCTGACGGCTCTGACAAGAGAGGAGGAGAAGTGGTAAAACACAGGTCACTGGATATTCAGTAAAGAGGGTACCGTGATGGGACGCACGCACTGCCCAGTAAAGATAGCATGCAGGGGGCCGGCCGACAGGCGCGTTGGTTAGGAGCTGGCTTGGGACGCCAGCTCTGAGCAGCAGGGCCCTGGTTCAGATCCCACATGAGGGCCAATGACGCTGCGCCCTCTACAGCTAAGATGGTGAACAACAGCTCGACCTGGAGCTGGGCTGCCATGAGTCGCTGGCGATGGCGTAGGCTGTGGTACTACTGTGCATGGCCAGCAGCAGGAGTGAGCTTTTGTGAGCTGCCTTGAGCAGCCGTCCAATGGCTGGCGAGTGATTGCCTAACCTGGGAAGAGCGCAATGATAATACCAACATGGGCCAGTGAAGTGACATCCTCCACAACTAGACTGAAGAACAAAAGGACAGCAACTTGTTTGTTCCTCTTCCCCGATTCCCCAACACTGTTCCCTCCCCCAATTCCCTAATAAAATCTTTTTTAAAAAAATGGCATGCAGGACAAGGAACGTGAAGGGTGTTCTTCAAGGAATTCAAATAGCACTTGAGCCTTCCTTTGGTAAGCCAGGCAGCAGAGCTTCTGCAAGCCACCCTTCTGCCCCACAGCCACCCCATGCTGGCCTGCAGGGCCACGCACCCACTCTCCAGATGAGGAAGCCGAGCACAGGGCCACCGAGGGCCTGGCAGAGTCCCCACACAGGCTGTGGGAGCTCATGCCACCGCTGGCTGCCTCAGGCTGCAGCGTGGGGAGAGGTCACGACTGGGGCCTCAGACCGCAGCAGCCCTGGAGCAAGGCCCCCCGGCCTGCCCCCACTCCCGTTCTCACGTGCATAGGGCAGCATGGGGCCTGAGAGAGGCAGCACTCCCCACAGCCCCACCCTGGAGTGTCCCACCTGGTGTCCTGTGAGGCCCCAAGCAAGCATTCCTTCCAGGACCCTGGCTCTCCTGGGTGTGGAGACAGCCATGCGCCCACTGAGTGGGGACCCCCACAGCACAGGCACAGGCAGGAGCCACTCACTACGTGGTGCTTGAGCTAAGTCACTAGAAAGCAAACCCATCCATCACGTTTGGCAATAATTTTAGCTTCAAAATCCAGCAACCAGTTATAACATAGATTCCATTACAAACAGTAACACAACTGTCTGACTTCACATTTAATTTTCTGCAGCACAGCGACGGCGCTGTGAGAAAGAAGACCTACAAACGCAGACCCTTCCTCCTGTGAGGCCTCGGAGCCCATGCGCAGGGAGGAGGCATCGCCACACCCGCTCTGGCCCAGCCGAGCCTCCATCCTGCCCTCAGGAGGCCTGGCAACAGTCCTCTCAGGAAGAGAAGCAAGGCTGGGGGCCGCCTGGCAGCCACCATCTCCCTCCTGGGCAGGCAGGAGCTGGAGCTCTCGGGAGCCTGTGGAGCTGCTGGGTCCTGGCCTGGCCAACCCCCATCACGACACCAAGAAACAACAGGTCTCTCGAACCACATTTATGCTCATTAAGAGAGCTTCCCTCCAAAGCATCCCTTTTAAAATAAACCACTCTGAAATTTAAAAAAATGAAACAAAACCAAAAACCAGACTGCTGCAAATAACTCACTCTGCTGAACTCTCCCCAGCCCAGGAGCTTGCTGACGCAGACAAGAGAAAGGCCTGGAAGGCTCGTCCTGGAACCCCACGTTGAGCCCCGTCCAGATGTGTGCGTGACTCCCAGGAAAGGTATGGCGGGCGAGGGGGCAGCTTGAGCTGCCACGCGGCCACCAGATTTGAGTATAGAACATCGGGGGACTGCATACCACCCAGGTAGGTCCACACTTGTGCTGGGGACCCCCCAAAAGGAAACTTGATGAACACCCCCGATGCCATCCTCTCAAAGCCACCATTCATTACACTCACTCATCTGTCTACGTGAGGACCGCCTTCCCCTTCCTCTTAAGAATTCTAGATACCCATAGTCACCAATGGCAGGACAAGGGACCAAAGGAGGCTTAGCAGTATCTACAGCTTCACACCCCAATGTCACACTTGTTAATGTGGCAGTCAATGTATACACTTTCATTATCAGATGCTCTGTTGATTAAAAAGTTGCGTCTACAGAAATTTAAAGGAATACCTAAATATTGTGAAATCACAATGCAGTTAAAATGCTAATGAAGTAGAAGTGTAAGGAAATAGATACTGTTCAATGCGCAACATGGCTGTGGTTACAACAAAAGTCAGGGAAGGAATCAGAGTCCTGCCATAAATGACCATGTGACTTCAAGCAGGGAACTTAGCCTTTCCTGCACTGAAAATATCTCAAGTAGGTATGTAAATGGATACGCAAGAGAAAGGACAGATGCCTGGATACAGGCAACGTAGGCAGCTTTAGAAACAGGGTGCTCTAACCTGACCTTAGAAACAGGGGTGCTGTAACCTGACAGGGAAATCACATGGCTCCTTAAGCAGAGGGGAAGTTAGTTTGCCCACCGCAAAGCACTGTACTGGGAGCAGAGCCTTTCTCTGGGCCTCCCGAGTTACAATGTGTCACAGTTACAATGCATCACAGTCACAGATTCCGGATTCCCACAAAAAGTTGGACACACGTGATAGCCTGGGGAGCATCAGAACACCAACAGCTGCATCAAATGCCATGTTTTAATGACATTATCACAGCTCTGGATCTTGTAAACTCTGGTTATAATCACTCATTTCAAACAGATGCACGCAAAGGCAAAGAAACATAGCTTTGTCTCAAAATGTAACAAACAAATTTTGGATAAAAGATCATGAAGAAGCAATCATCAGCATTTGCAGCCACCACAGCCTGAGGAGGTCCATCCATCCTGACTCCATCGAGGAAGGAACCCTAAGGTGGTCCACTCCCCACCTTATGGACGGGCCACCCAGGCCGGGGGTGAGTGATTCCTCCAAGAGTGCCCAGAAGCTGTGTGGGCATACCCCAGTGCCCACACACACACACTCATACACACAGACACACACACACACA